CAATTAAATTAACCCATGGTTTACATTATCTACCATTTTTTCTTATCATACTTAAATATTATTTTTCCAAAATTTTTTTCACTTGTTCAAATAAATCAAGAAAATAAATTTCATGTAATATTGTAATATTATAATAATAATTGTATATTCAATATTGTATTTTAGTGACTAATGCCATTAAGCGTCCACTCGGACTTTTGGTGATTTAAATTAAAGAGGACGCATATGCTTACTTTAAATAAGAAGGGGGACTCCTTCCCCCTCCACTTTAACCACTGTCTAACCCAACGTGATCCACAAACCATGACTAATAGTCTCAGTCGAACCTTCCTCAATAAAAATACGAATAAAAAAAGGGCAAGACTTCTAGGTTGAGAGAGACACCACGCTCGAGTAAGAATACGGGGATGTATAAATGGTAATATTGTATTGGTTTTTTAAAATTAAAATCAATTTACCATTGCTCTCGAAAAAACAATTCTGAGTGACTGAGATCGAATGGACCCATTTATATTTCTAATGATTGATATAGTAGAAAACCCAAATTTATAAAATAAATACAATTTTATGGAAATTCGTTGAAACTCCGATATCGTTAAAATTTCATTTTGTAACATTTTTAAATAATTTTTGTGACTTTCTCGTTGTTTTTTTTTTGGCTTCAAAGAAAATCATAAAAAAATTTTATTCTAATTGTCAAACCTTAATTATAAAAGTTGAAAATTGTTTGCATTGTTAACTACAGTAACGAAGCGGATTTTTTATCGCTTTGTCAAAATCTAATATTTAACATTAATTTTTTTTAACTAGTAATACATATGTGTGAGAAACTTTGTACTACATTTCTAAGACATTATGTCAAATCAAAATTATTTCATCAATATTTTCGAAAAAAGCAAATATAACATGAATATTATATCTATGAGGCACGTAAGATTAACAGAACTTAATTATTTTCATAATCCCTGAAGACAGAACAATTAGTTTATCTTCGTGTGACACTATAATAAATTAGATACTAGGTGAAACCAGAAAGTTATTGACTTACAATGGATGATTAATTTTTACTTCTTTGTACATGTTTTAGATAGATTAAGTTTTATGTATACCAAAACTTTCATATAGATCTTTTGTCGATTGGAAATTGAAAACAGATGTTAGCAGATTGGTTATTTTAGGAATTTTAAAGTATTTATAGGCGTTGTAGTGGTTAGTCTATTTTAAATATTATAGGAATTATAAATACTCTGAGAATATTTATTAAATAAATCAAAAAAAAATTTCAGATATTTCATCAAGCTAAATTCTTTCAAGTTGATTTTTTTAATTCCTGTATTGTACAATTTTTTTTTTTAATTTTAAAAATATATTGAAAATAATGAGATTTAAGATAAAAAGTTGTAAGCAAATTCTATTTTGATATAACCTCAGAAACAGTCAGACAAAAGGTACGTACCTCCCAAGAAATTATTTTTAATATTATAGTAAATATTTACTTCCATCAAACTTCCTACATATGTTTAATATCTTGCTTAATTTTACTTATTTTTATTACTAAACTATAAAAGTGAAACTCATACAAAATCTTATAAGTTAAATATATAAAACTATTTACATCTATTGTAAACGTATATTGCCAAATGTCAAAAATAGATAGTTTATAGGGGGGGGGGGGTATTGCTCCCTTACATATCTCCGTCGAAAATAATTTCAAATTTTATACTTCGTAAAACTAATCGACCTTTAAATTCAGGTGAGATTAAGATTAAGATGACGACGAATAGTTAAAACTTGCAAAACATTTTTAAAACGATAGATGATACCGATATAATAATTGATCAAAATATAAACCATAATCATGAATTTAGTTATTTACATTTTTCCACTTAATAAAAATTAGGCGCAATTTACATGTAACCTTTTTCACTAGATAAAAACTCGGGCACAGTTTAACTGCATATATGATTTGCTCAGTTTTCAATCGCCATTTTAAATATTTCTAAATTTAAATTGTTCACTTTGATTTTACATTATAATTGAACATATAAAGGCGGGTTTACACGACGCGAATCTGATACGCAAGGCCAAATATGCGAGGATGTCTCACTAGACAGCTGATTTGCCAAAATGTTTACACAATGCGTATCTAATATTCGAAGCTAGATGAATCAAGGTGAGTGCAAAGGTTAATGCAAACAAGGTTAATAAAAAGCAGGGATGGTGACAACACGTATGTCAATACTTCCAGTTGTAGCTGAGTCATTTGTTATTATTGCAATGTAAATTTTATTGAAGAAAAAAATAAGAAAAATCACAACCCAAACGACGTTGGTGGTGCAGACAACTGTTTTGTTAATCTAAAGATGTTTTAACATTTTAACTTTGGAGTGCAACTGCCATTAAAGGGCAGTGTATTTGAATAGTTTTTATCTGGTATATTCGAATAGTTTTTCAATATAAAACTATTCATTCATACCAAGATAACATCTGAATATAATATTCGATAGTTTATGTTTACTATCGAATAGTATTCGATAGTACTAACTATTCAATAGTACCCATCACTAGAATTCAAGATTAACTATTATTAAAGTAAACATTATTTAAGTAAAATTAAATTAAAGTAAAAATATTATGTTTAAAAGAAATAACGATATTAATATTATTTTAGAGAATTTCAAAAATAATACATATTAAACATAAAATTAAGGACCATATTAATTATTTAAAACCAAAGAGTAGTTAATATGTAATCTTATAAATTCTTATGGTAGAATTTTTTTTTAAAGATAATTATTGAACAGTTAATATTTAATAATAATGATATCACAAAGAACTTTTTTATAAATTAGTTTTCTCAATAATTGTTCATCAATAAACGATACTCCATATTCAATTGAATACTGATATTAGATTACAGATTACCATAAGATTATTATCAAAAAACAATTAAAATAATAAGAAGATTAATTATTTATTTTTAATATTAATTTAATTAACATTAAAATTATGATTTTATTTAATTAAATAGGATAATTATTTAAAAAAAAATGTTCCATAACAGAGTTAAATTACCTAACACTATAAATAAAATAAAATGTTGTCATCTGTAATACTTTATATTTTATTATATATTATATCCAGACTAATAATATTTATGAATTATATACTAAAGCATAAATGTTTAATTTTGTAAAATAAAAGTAAATTATATAGACAAAATATAAAAACTTTATAAAATAAAAGTACATATACAAACACACAAATAAATTTTTAAAACAATTATACAAATATACTCAAAAAGTAATTACATAACTATTTATTATAGGTACCAGTGATGGGAATTATTCGAGTAATCAAATATCAGTATTCGATGCTAAAATACAATTCGTAACAAAAATTATTTAATTTAATAATTAAATTGAGTTTTCACGCAACACAAAACGTTTAATAATAATAGGTATTGTAACATTGAATATTGATATTCGAATATACATTACACTCTAATAGGTACCTACATATTTTCTCATATCCTAATATTTCTGAAGCAAATTAATATTTTAATATAAAGAAATAACTATTTTATAATTACTAATAATATCTATATATATATAGTTATAAATGTGTATGTGCCTAAAACCAATGTAAAAAATAATTCAATTTTTTATAATATTTAAGTAATTAACTAAAGTAATAATTTTAAATTATTAATATAGTACCAACAGCTATCGGCTGTAATGATTATGAGTTAGCATGTTTTTTTATGAACTCATAATTAGTGCTAAGAACAACTCAAATCTTGATTTTAAATCTGCAAACTTAATTTGCATAAAACTATATACTTTCTAAATTTAAAAATAGGTATAATTGTGTAGTAATTATTTCTCATCTTAGTAATAGATTAGTATAAAAAATAAGAATTTAATTTAAATAAGTAAGACTTATAAATATTAATATATTTTTTATCAAGTTCTTTTTTAATTTTCATTTAGTACTACTTTAATTAGTTAAACTCAAATGCCTTAAATTTACGTTAGATTCCATATTTATTCATTAGTTATTACTCGACTGCGTTGGTTTAAGTTATTTTTTTATTTTTTTAAATAAAACTTTATTCATTTTTTACTAATGTCTTCTTTCTTAAAATTAATTTTAATATTCAAAATATGGACAAAATGACCATATTAATGGTAATTTTTAAAATGTAAAATTTAGTATTTTTCAAAAATGGTTTTATTAATTTGTGGTAGACACTTTAATAAAATTTTGTAATTAAATACATTTTTACAAAAGATAATATTTGAAAAAATGCAATAAAAAAACATTTATTTACCTAAGAATATAACTGTTAGTATCATAATACAGTATTCTAAGAAATACAAATATATGGTAATCGGATCATATACATTCATATATATTAAAAGAATTGATACATTTATTTATTAAATAATAAATCAATTATTTTCAGTTGAAACTAAAATTGTTCAACATTTTATAGTTATTGGTTGAAATTTCTCTTAGAAAAATTACTGAACTCAAATTAACAATTTTTCATGAACTAGAAAAATTTTAGAAATAGAAATTTATCATTTCACAATATACATATCAGAATGAAAATAAAAAAATTATTATTGTTTTGAATGATACAAAAATTAACTAAAATTATATAAGTACTTAATTTGGAATGATAAAAATAAATAAAAGTGAACAATGATATTTTTGGATTTTGCAAAAGTTTAAGAAAATGATTTTTTAGATTAACGATTTAACTTGAGAGTTAAAAAAAATTTTGAAATTTAAAATTTAACCATAAAATTACTATAAAATCAACAAATACAAGTAATTAATTATAAAGATAATTAAGAAAATAAAGATTATAGATTAAGATTATTAAGTTAATAAAGGTAATTATAAAGATTCAATTAATATTCATAACATAAACTATAGATTTTAATTATTATCAAAACAAATTAAAGGCATAAGATGTTATACCTACTTACCAATTAAAATGTGTCCACCTGTGATTAAAATCTTTCACGACACGTCATACAACAAAATACTTAGCGTATTGTTTTATTCCGTATTATAATGGTTTGCATACTTGAAAAACGTGAAAAAGCTAAATACTATGATGGTAAAATATCTAAATATATCACATCGAAGATACAAAATTAGAAAAATCAAAAAAAAAAGTAGTAAAAATAATGAATTTTAATTAAAAAATTGTTTATCGATAATTATTATAGGCATCACTGAATGTGTTATCAAAATAATATATAATAAGAGAAAATGATTGAACTTTCTAATATTACTATATATTCGGATCAAAGTACCGTTCTAAAACGTTCTGCAGCAAGTGCAGAACATTTCGTAACACATATTGGCTTGTATCATATAATATCACGTTGAAGAAATATTTAGAAAGAAATTAAAAAAATTATTAAAAAATTAACTAATGTTTTAATTGCTCTAGTTAAGTAATTGTTATAAAAAAAAAAATCAAATTCACGTACATCCACTGCATAAATTATGATATTTTGATTCGATGAATTCGCATTCTAGTTATCAAGGAGAATAAAAATATAGTCAACTGGGACATTGTTTACGCTGTCGTTACCATTGTAGAACTTGTTGGGTTAGTTTTCGGCCGCCTTTGGATTTTTGATTAAAATATAGTTTTTTCCTGTCTCTGTTGTTTATAACTACCTTAAGTTTTTTTTTTACATGTAATACCTTTTTTGTAGCCAATCTGTTCAACTATACGTTTTTTTCCGTGTAATTTTATAACGTCGAACAATTCGAAGAGCCTCAGTTTTATTTTTCTATTTATAATTAGTATCAATTGCCGTGTTACGCGACTTTCGTTGCTGAGATATTTTTCAGAGATCGTAGGAACTTAGTTTAAAGTGTAATCCTACTATTGTTATAACAGTAAAATGAGCGAAGAAGAACAACTACCGACCGGATGGGAAAAACGAGTGAGCCGGTCTACCGGTACGTAACGTCAAATATTCCAGAATTAACGTGATTTTGTGTACCTACCTATATCAATTTAATTGTACGGTATAAAGTTTTAAAATTATAATATACTAAATTTAATATTGTTTATGAACTATATAGTTATAGTTACTTATTAAAATAAATAATAAATTTGGTACAAACGTAACTATAATATTGTAGGTTATACAAAGTCTAAGTCGCAATTTTATTGACTTAATATATACTTGATAATGCATTTTTAATTTAAAACCATACATACCTACTTTACAAATATAATTGTACTCTAGGCTAACTATTAATTTATATAAGTAAACTGTTAGATTATTTATTTAAATATTATTTTACAAGTATTAACAATTTATTAATTTTTTTATTATTTTATTATTAAATGTTAATTCAAATTATAACAAGCATTTCTAAGAGATATGTTAAAAAAATAAAATACATAGTTATATAATAAATAAATGTGCCTAATGTTTTTTAACCATAATTTTTTATGCATCAAACCATTATAAAATTGCAATTAATGTTTAGTAAAATGAAATTATATTTTACTATATTTCTGTATTAACTGTTTTTTATGCATTAGTTTAGATAATATTTATTAATGTATTCCTTTTACTAACATACTGAATGTGAATCTATGATTGTTCTCTAGAAGTTTTGAAAGGAAACTAAAAAATATTTTCACCTTAACCTGTATTAGTAATATGTTTCAAAGTACCAATCTACAAATTATAATATTGATTTAATGTTAATATTTTTTATAATGATTACTTATTTAATGTTTTACATCTTAAATCTAACTTTTATATGACATTTTTATAAATTAACATCTGAATCAAAAAATATTATTTTCACTGTATATAATGTAATGTCAACTTCCTGTTATTATAATTTATTTGTTAATTGAAACTAATTTAATGATAGTTTGCATGTTTAGGTTGTGTACTGAACAAGAATGCTAGGTAAATTAAGAGTTCTAAACATTTTAATTTTTCTGAGTTTGTATTGTACAACATATGTAATTTTAATATATTAATCATAAAAATTATTTGACAAGACTAATCTAAATAATTAAAAAAAAAATTAGTTTTCATCTTATATAAAATAAAATCAGTGTTTTGTAATGTCTAAAGTGATTTCTAAAATCACTGAAACATTTTAGGTGAATATATTACTATTTTCCTCTTAGAAGACTTTCAATTTACATTAGGAACTATAATTTACCAAAAGCCATTAATTTACATTTTATATTTCTGTCAGTAAAAAAAAATTTCTTAATTTCAACCAGATCATTATTAGATTATTAGGTATACATTTCCATTTATTCATTATATTTTTTCTTAGGAATTTATTTTTTCGTTTTACAAATTTTAAAACTTTAATACTCATGTTAAATAAAATTATTGCTATTTATATAGTTTTTCTTTTAAGTTTTATTGAATTATATAAAATATATGTTAATATAAAATAATTAAAAATGAAATACTTTACTTTGATTGACAAATTTTACAATTAATTTCAATATAAACATGATAAATGTATTATAATTTATTATTATTATTTTTTTTTTTTTGAGTGCTATTTGTTTTTGATAGATTATTGAATATTTTTCTAACAGTTATAAAATATTTTTAAAATAAAAAAATCCATTAAACCCTAAGAAAAAATTAACCTTTATATTATTTTTATTTGTTAGGTCAAACCTACTATTTAAACTTATTGACCAAAGAAAGTCAATGGTCCATACCAACAAAACCAGCATCTGAAAATACAGGCTCAACAAATGCTGGTCCTGAACAAGTACAATGTAGTCATTTATTGGTTAAACATGAAAAATCACGTCGACCCTCATCATGGCGAGAAGAACGTATATCAAGATCAAAATCTGAAGCAGTTGATATCATAAAATGTATATACATCTACAAATATTTTAAATGTATCATTTAAACTTAACTTGTTTTTTTATAGCTTATCGTGAACAAATTGTTTCTGGCAAAGCATCATTTGCTGAACTTGCCCAGAAATATTCAGATTGTAGTTCAGCTAAACGTGGTGGTGATTTGGGACCATTTACTAGAGGCACCATGCAAAAGCCATTTGAAGATGCCTCATTTGCATTGAAAATTGGAGAACTTAGTGAAGCTATACATACAGATTCTGGTGTACATATAATTTTACGTACAGCATAAATCATGAATTACTTTTCTCTTTATAATTCAAATTTTGACCTACTCTAATTTATTGTTTATTTATAAATACTATACAATAATTGTTTTATTTACTACAGATTGCCATTAAAAAAAAAAAATTATCAATTGCAGTAATTGTTTGACAAATAAAAATAATTCTGATATAAAATTTTTTTTAGAATAATAAATACTTTTTTTTTTCGCCGAAGTTTTAATTAACGTGCTTTTACAAATTAAATGGCTTAGCATAAATTGAGTTAAGCATTCACACTGATTTTGTTCAAAATTGATAAAGAAGCTCATGTATTTATGGATGAAAATAAAATCATTGGTTGTCTTTAGTTTTGATATTATTAACATAAAAATATTGTATTTTTTCATCTAGTACTTATTTGCAGATAAACAATTATTAAATGCTGATTTTTCTTGTAATAAGATTAAAAATCTTCTTTTTGATAATTTTGTATACATTTCAGTTATTCAGTCTCTATTGAGTTATGAATAATAGGTGAAAGATCTCAAATGTGGCAATCAAAACAAGATTTTGTTATCTTGCAAAATTTAAATCAAAATATATTATTTATTTGCAACAAAACTAGATTTTCCAATGGTGACCTATGTAATTAAGTATTATCCATCATATAGTTTAGTTAATTTATTTTTTAAGAAAGGTGCTATCTAAACTGGTTTGTGCAAGTGTTTGTAGGACCTTGCATGATATTTGTTTGGGGGTAGTTTAAGATATATTAGATCTAAATCATAAGCATGATTTTTTGGCCAATATACGAAAAATGCAATACATTTTAAATCATTAAAATTTGTAAACTAAACTTGATTGTGCCATTGATGGAATAATTATGTGTTACTAAATTTGCTTGTGAGCTAACCTAATGATGTACATTAAAAGTAACTATTCATTAATTTATTGTTTATAAGCATTACTACTATTTACTATTTGATGAGTAGTTCACATTGTATTACTTAAATAAAATTAATACATTTTTGTATTATGTAGTTTATTAGGTTTTTAAATGTATGTAGAACACCTATTTCTATCGTTTATCAATTGTGACTTGTTTCCATAGTTACCATTTTAAATAATGTCATTGTTGATTAAAAGAAAAAAAATTTCAAAATTTTTAACTTTCCTAGAGGTTCTTAATGTTACTTATTATTATTGATTAACTATACTATTAGTATTTTTGTTACTCATATTAAATTAGTTTATAAAATTATCAAATTGTTCATCTATATTTTTAAATGAACAGTGATATGTATATAACAGTATAAACCCATAAAATATAATGATGTTACTTCCTCTGCAATTTAATTAAAATATATTAATATGCCCTGGAGACAAAAATAAATTGTAATATAATGATATATTATATGTTTACATAGGATAACTATGTGATGTAGAGGAAAAAAATAAAATCAAATAATATATGAATCTAAATATTTTTCCAATAAATTATAAGTTTTTTTATAATCTTTCTGCATTTAGCTCTGAAGTAGTTGTTTTCTGTTCTATTGAAAGTTTTTTAAAGTCTCTTTAAAGACCTTGGAAAGGAAATCCAGGGAAAGTTGATAAATATTTAACTATGTAAAATACCTTGGATCCTATAAACAAATGTGTATAAATATAACCATTTATGATTTATATTCATTATTTTTCTTATTTTAATAACGTTAATTCTTATTTTAACGTTAGTTAATTAATGTTCAATAATGATAACACTATTACTGAGCAAATATTGAACCTATTGGATTTTTAATCCTCCACGGACGAGCTGTACTACAGGCACGCAAAATATGTTGATTTAAAAAATTGACTACAATTATAAAATGATAAGTTCAATCTATAGAACTTGTCTAATATAAATATGTACAATTTGTTTAGTTATATATAAAATAATATATTTTATAAGAATTTAAATTTTTACATTATAAAAAAAAATAAAAATATGAAATTCATGAAAAAAAAATCCCTCGTCTGTAGAGGATTAAAAGTTCTAGAACCAGTTAATACCAGTTCTGAAAAATAATAATTATTTTTGGTTATTAAAAAAAAGTTAATACTATTATAGACTAATATGCCCATAAATTTCTTTGGAAGTGTACTAAAGTAGGAGTCTTAGTTACTAATTAATATTTTATTTTAAGACATAAAAATAAAATTTGTCTACAAAAGTTAAATTTAAATTAATTTTTGTATTCTGTGTAAACATATTTTTATTATATTATTTGGTTTTTATAAGTGGTTGTAGATGGATATATTGTTACGTTTTTACCAAATTACAGTGTTAAACCACATCTTCATTCACTACACTCAGAATCTAAAACATTTACATATCGCATTATTGATATTAATATTAATTATATTAAATACTTAATAGACAATATCCTTATTGTAATACATTAATAAACTAAATAAAATAATAATAACATAAGTAATCTATTTTTTTTTTTACATTTGATTTGCTTCGTTTGTGTCTCTGTTCTGTAAATTATTTGAAGTAAAATATATTTAACGTTTATTGTATGGTTTGTATATTATAAACTTAAATCTGTAATAATTTTTCTTTTTTTTCAAATAGTCCATTTGTACATATTAATAAGCGGAGTGCAACTTAGCCTAAGTTAAAAAAATAATTATATATTTATAGATTGGTGATTATATCGAACTTTGTATGTACCTGTTCAATTTTAATTCATAACCAGTCATACTTTACATATATAATAATACTTCAAGTTATACATTAATTTATTTATAAATTTATTAATATATTACAAGTTACAATTTTTAGCACAAGAGAATAAAAACATTAAAAAAATTAACTTATTTTTCTGAACCTAACTAACAAGATATTTCTACTAACCAAAATTAATTGTTTTATAATTAAGTTTCCGGTTAAGATAACCAGTTCATTTCAGTTCCTATTCTAGTCTGCCACTGAGTTAATTTTGTTCAATTTTGACGATTTAATAATAAAAAAAATTCATTGTATAATATAAAATATTATTGTCTATATCATTGTTTCTCAACTTACTGGAGTTACCCCCTTTTGGAATTTCAATTTTTAACGACCCCTACTTATATTTCTTTTATATACTCACATAAATTATTATTAATAATTAATACAGACCTTATAAATTAAACTAAATATCTAAATAATTGTTAATTCACACCGAAAATTTTCACTGATTGGTTCTTCCATCAATTTACTCACAGACCCGTCTCAAGGGGTAGGCGGCATTTTTCCTGGACAAGTTTTATATATAAAAAAAAATTATTTGATAAAATATTTACACGTAAAGGGTGACAAAAACTAAATTTCGCCTATGTTTGTTTAAACACTAGAGCCGGGCCTGGTCACTCAAGCCACTGCACTAAAGAAAACATCCATTATGCTTATTGTACATTTTTTTTTTGTATAGACTGTATAAATTCTAGTTAAAAAAATAAAAAAATAATACTTAAAGTACTGTACATTGCACAGTATAATGTACATAAAATACATATATTATAATTATTTTTAATTAAAAAAAAAACGTATACCGCAAATTTTATTCTATTAATATATTTTTAAATTAAGGTTCTTAATGACTTAGTTGTTGCTGTGGATATGAAATTATTTCATAAATTCTTGGTTTAATGTAAAAAATATATTTTTCAATTCAGTATCGAGTTTATCCAAAAAACAAGAAAATATTCACTTTTAATAGTTTGTGATTATCAATATGTAAACCTCCATGACTTTGTCGTATTGTTTCTTCCTTTTTATTTTCTTCGTTCATTAGTCTAAAATAAATATTTTCTCTATATCTACGTTTTTATTTATATCAAACCTATATCTACCTATTCAATATACATTATTGATTATCTATTATCAAAAACTAAATTATTTTAAGTATATTAGATTGTTGTTTTAATTATTTTTTTACTCTACTCATTTTAAAATTGTTCATATTTAAACTTTGTTTCATTTGGCTAATTGGAAATCGATAAACGTTGATTACCAAAATATTTAATCAATTTTGCGGTTTAGAAATAATTGTTCCTTTTCTATTTTTAATTTAAAATAATTGAATTAAAATATTTTTATTCTTAATTCAAATGTACCAATTCATAAAACAATACAGCACGATACCTAGGTAAATTATTAAGTATTTAGTAGTTAATACACAGTGGATGGAGCATCAATTACAGATGACAACTTACATAAGAAGTTAGAATCGGTGCAAACAATTTGTGTCCATCACACCTTTTTTACAACGCATTTGCGCCCGAAATATTTTTAATGAAAATGTATTAAACCAGTACAACGTTGTCAAACTGTACTTTGAAATACAAGCAATACCTTTTAAAGTTAATACTATTGTACATATTATTTATCAGTTTTAACTATTTTTAATTTTTACATTACACTCTCTTGTATGCGTAGTGCAACTTTACACTAACTAGAGTATGATACGTGAGTTGCGAGTGTATAAAAATGGATTTTAATATAATAAATCAGGGTTTGAAACCGCTCCTGGAAAAATTGGTTACCGGGCGTAGAGAATCTGGACATTTTTTCGGAACTAAATACCGGTCTTCGTGGTTTTTAGAAATAGCGGTAATCGATTCCCGGTTACCAAAATAACTATAACAAATGGCACTACAGATTATATGTTTGAAACCGGTTTTAAATCATCACTCTTACCGATAACCACTGTTAAACCTGGTTTTCGTTTTCAACAGTCGATTTTCTTTTATTGAACTTAAATCTTAAGTACTCTTAACAAATCATTTATGCATGTTATTGTGGTGTGACTGTAGGTAAGAATAGGTACAAAACAAAAGAAAATACTACATAACTACATAAGTAAGTATACTTATAACTTTTTTTCTTTAAGATAGATAAAAAACTTAAGAATATAAAATAAATGATAATAGTTTGATAAACATGAAAAAATTTAAATACAAAACATATTATTCTAATCAAACAAAAAAATGAATCTGTGTATTCCATAGTGTATCACTGTAAAATGAATACTTATAATAA